GGATTTTGTCCCTTCCTTTTCCAGGTGGGCAGCGAGGCCATGGCGATGCTCCTGGAGCCCGGGATGCAGAGCCTGCGGATGGGTAAGGATGTCCCCAGGGGGTGGCACTGGCTGAGATGTCCCCAGACGATCATTCCGTGTCCGGGTCCCTTGCTGTCCCCTCCCAGTGTCCCCTCCGCAGCTCCCGCGCCGGGGTAACCAGAAACAGCTGTGGGAGGAAACCCGATCCCACCATCCCAAACCCCATTCTACCATCCCAAATCTGATCCCGCCATCCCAAATCTGATCCTGCCATCCCAAACCCCATTCTACCACCCCAAACCCGATCCTGCCATCCCAAACCCCATTCTACCACCCCAAACCCCATTCTACCATCCCAAATCTGATCCCGCCACCACCCTAAACCTGAGCTGTCACCCCAAACCTGATCCTTCCATCCCAAACCTCATCTGCCATCTCAAACTTGCACCATCATCCCAAACCCGATCTTTCCACCCCAAACCTCATCCCTCCATCCCAAACCCGATCTTTCCACCCCAAACCTCATCCCTCCACCCCAAACCCGATCTTTCCACCCCAAACCAAGCCAGGATTGCGGAGGCCGGGGCAGGATTTACCCCTCCCCGACCGCGATCTTTATCCGCAGGAATGAGGTTTCATGTCCAAGGCTCTCCAGTGTCCCCCGGGGGGGTCACCGGTGCCCCCGGCTCTGTCACACGCGGAGGCGGCTGAGAGACCATTCCCGTTTGTCCGGGATCAAATATTTATGGCACAGACACGGATACAGGGAAAGGCACTTAGGGAGCGGGTGTAGGGGACAGCAGACGTGTCACCAGCAGGGCTCCGGGGGTGGGGGGACACGGCGGCCGCTGTCCCCAACTCTGCGGTGTGGCTTTTCCCCAGACACAGAAAATCAGGATAATCCCAATCCTGTGGTTGTTGGGGGATCCCAGAGCATTCCCGGAGCGTTCCCTGGGGCTCCTGAGCTTCCCGAGGGTGTCCCAGTGGCTGTCCCAGTGCAAACTGGTGGCACTGGGAGCTGCGGTGGGTGACACCAGCAAAGTGGAGAGGGAATTTAGTTCTTCCTAGAGGAGTCTCCTCTGTTCCCAAATCTCTCCAGGACCTGGCTGGGGGTGGGTGCTGCTCATCCCCGCTCCCATGGCCCCAATCCCAGCAGGATTCCGGCAGGATCCGCAATCCCAAAGCGCAGGTTTTGGGGCCGACAGTCCCTTCACCTTCCCGGCGTCACCTCCCGGACCCCACACCGCATTCCCAACACTTTATCCCATCCCAATCCCTTGGAAAAGCCGCCCCGTCAGCTCTCCCAGCTCCTTCCAGCTGGAGCGGGTCCAGCGGCGTTTTCGTGGGCGGTGATTAATTAATGCCGGCTGCTAATTGGAGCCAGGTGCCCGGGGCAGCGCGGGTGGGACAGCTCCGTGTCCCCGGTGTGGGGTGGGGACTCTGGGGCTCACCCCATCCCGATTCTGGGATCACCGGGGGTCCCTGGGGCTGGAATTCTGCTGCTGGAGGGGACAGGGACGGCTGGTGGCTCCGGGAGGAGGAAGAGGAGGACGGAAAATCCGCTGTGCCCATGATCCCTGAGGTCCCCACTCCCAGATTTTGGGATCACGCAGGAGCTTCCAGGGTTTCCAGAGAACTGGAATGTCCTGGAGCGTGGCCGAGGGTCTGAGCTGGATCCACCCCCCGCTCTCACTGGTTCTCCATGGGTTTGAATCACAGACACTTCCTTTCCCTCTTTCCAAGTTTTCCCCCATTCCCACTGAATCCAAACCTTCCAGCTGCCGGCCTGGAGCAGCTTCCACATCCCTGGAAGTGTCCAAGGCCATATTGGAGCCACCTGGGATAATGGAACGTGTCCCTGCCCGTGGATGGGGTGGCACCGGATGGGATTTAGGGACCTTCCCAACTCCAACCATCCCACAGTTCCATGGTTTTATGAACTCCACATCTGGAGCCCCCACAGTGACTTTGTCCCCTCCACCACCACATCCACCCTGGATCCGTCTCCATTGGGATGTCCTGGGTGGTCTCTCCTTGGGGAAAGGTCTTTGGAAAGGACTGGAATCCCTTCCATGCAGGATCCATCTCCATCGGGATGTCCTGGGTGGTCTCTCCTTGGGGAAGGGGCTTTGGGAAGGACTGAGATCCCTTCCCACCTGGCTCCATCTCCATTGGGATATTCTGGGTGGTCTCTCTTTGAGGAAGGGGCTTTGAGAAGGATTGGGATCCCTTCCCACCTGGATTCATCTCCATTGGGATGTCCTGGGTGGTCTCTCCTTGGGGAAGGGGCTTTGGAAAGGACTGAGATCCCTTCCAGACTGGAATCCCTTCCCACCTGGATCCATCTCCATTGGGATATTCTGGGTGGTCTCTCCTTGGGGAAGGGGCTTTGGGAAGGACTGGGATCTCCTCCGGGCTGGATCCATCTCCATCAGGATGTCCCAGGTGGTCTCTCCATGGGGAAGGGGCTTTGGGGCCATTGGGGTCACGCAGTGTCCCCCGTCCGTGTCCCCAGGTGCCAACGGTGAGCGGTGCCCGACGCCGTCCCCGCCCGGCTCCCCGGGGACACCCCACGACAGCTGCAGCATCGCCCCACTGACACCTTCCCAGTCCCCGGTAAGTGTGGGACCAGTAAAGCCATTGTGGGGTCCCAGTAAGGCAATTTTGGGCTCCCAGAATGGCCGTTGTGGGGTTCCCAGTAAGGCCATTATGGGATTCCCAGTAAGGTAGTTGTGATGTTCTCAATAGGGCACTTTTGGGGTCCCAGTAAGGCCATAGTGAGGTTCCCAGTAAGGCAGTTTTGGGGTCCCAGTAAGGCTATTATGGTGTTCTCAATAAAACCATCATGGTGTTCCCAGTAAGGCAATTTTGGGGTCCCACTAAGGTAGTTTTGGGGTCCCGGTAAAGCTAGTGTGGGGTCCCAGTAACACCACTATGAGGTCCCAGTAAAAAAGTTTTGGGATCCCCAGTAAGACCACTGTGGGGTCCTGGTAAGACAATTTTTGGGTCTCCAGTAAGGCCAGTGTGAGATCCCACTAAGGAAGCTTTGGGGTCCCCAGTAAAGCCTTTGTGAGGTCCTCAGTGAAACAGTTTTGGGGTTCCCAGTAAGGCCATTATGGTGTTCCAAATAACACCATTATGGGGTTCCCAATAAGGCCATTATGGAGTTCCCAGTAAGGCAGTTTTGGTGTCCCAGTAAAGCCATTATGGGGTTCCCAGTAAGACCATTGTGGGGTCTCCAGTATGGCCAGAGTGTTGTCCCAGTAAGGCCAGTGTGGGGTTCCCAGTAAAGCAGTTTTAGGGTCCCAGTAAGGCCAGTGTGGGGTCCCCAGTAAGGCCAGTGTGGGGTCCCCAGTAAGGCAGTTTTGGGGTCCCAGTAAGACCAGTGTGGGGTCTCTGGGGGCTGCTGGGGTCTGTCCCCCTGTCCTTTCCCCCTCTGGTCCTTCCCCAGTTGCTGCTCCCCCTCCCTTCCCAGTTCATCCTCCATCTCCCCCAGTCCCACAGGATGGGTCAGTTTATTCCCAGGACCTTTATCCATGGCATTTTTGGGATGGAGGTGTTTTCCCACTCTGGAATGACCCACCAGGAAAAGTTTAACCCCACAAAGCTCCTGCACTCATCCGGGGTGGCCGGGTGTGGGAGGCCACGTTCCAGAGCCGGATCCTCCCTGGAATTCCTCGTCCCTGTGCATTCCTGTGCCTCTTCCCTGCTGATCCCGGCGTTTTTCCTGGCCAGCACTTATCAAATCTGGGGACACTAAAAGTTAACGAGGCTTTCAGCTTCCCGTGGTGACACGGGGACAGGGAAGGGACAGGAACAGGAAAAGTGTGGGAGCAGCAGTGGGAATATCCCAAAACGCCTGGGCCAGGGGGATTTTCAGCTGGGTGACACATGGGGGCACGGGGGACAGGGTGAGATTGGTCACAGGGAAGAGTTTTGGCTGTGTGACCCTTGGGGATGTGTGGGATGATGGCACCTTGTCCAAGATAGGGAGCAGGGAAGGGTTTGGTTCAGTGACACGTGGGGACACTTGGGACAATGTTCCTTGGAGTGAGACTGGACACAGGGAAGGGTTTCACCTGGGTGACCCTTGGGGACATGCGGGATGATGTCACTTGGAGCGAGACTGGACACAGGAAAGGATTTTGGCTGGGTCATCTTTGGGGACACCTGGGACAAGGTGAGATTGGTCACAGGGACGGGTTTTGACTGCGTGGCCCTTGGGGACACCTGGGACAATGTCCCTTGGAGTGAGACTGGACACAGGAAAGGATTTTGGCTGGGTGGCACATGGGGACACAGGGATGATGTCCCTTGGAGTGAGATTGGACACAGGGAAGGATTTTGGCTGGGTGGCACATGGGGACACGTGGGATGATGGCACCTTGTCCAAGATAGGGAGCAGGGAAGGGTTTGGGTTCAGTGACACATGGGGACACCTGGGACAATGTCCCTCAGACTGAGACTGGACACAGGGAAGGATTTTGGTTGGGTGACCCTTGGGGACACTTGGGACAATGTCCCTTGGAGCAAGACCAGACACAAGGAAGAATTTTGGGACTCTTGGCTCCGATTTCAGGGTCCAAGTGAGGGGGGGCTCAGCACAATGAAAACAGGACCCCCCCAACCACCCCGACAGCTCCCATGAGCATCCATCCCTCTCCAGAGGTGCCCAAATCCCCGTGTCCCATGGGAACTGCCTTTGGGAACGCCCACAGCCACCCTGTGGAATATGGGAGAGGCTTTCCCCAGTGAGCTGGAGATGTGTAAGAAGAGGAATCACCCATGAGGAAATCATCAAATGGGGCAAAAATCCTGGAAAAATCCTGAGAAAACAAATCCCTTCCTGGGGTTTTTACCGCGTTCCTGGAATCACCCAGTCCCAGCTGATCCCATTCCTTGCCTTCCAGCGGAGTGAGGCGCGTTCCCAGCCCACCCCGTCCTTCTCCGTGGTGGTGGCCATCGACTTCGGCACCACCTCCAGCGGTTACGCCTTCAGCTTCACCAGCGACCCCGAGGCCATCCACATGATGAGGTGAGGATCCCTTCCCTGCCGGAGGCCCCGGAGCTGGGAAAGGACCCTGAGGGCTCCAAAAGGGTCACAAGTTGGGTTGGTGGGAGGTGAGTCCTGGCAGCAGCAGGTGGAAGGTGTGGAATGAGGATACTCCCAGGGCTGGAGCTCCTCTGCTGCACAGCCAGGCTGGGAGAGTTAGGAATGTTCAGCTGGAGAAGGGAAAATTCCAGGGAATGCTCAGAGTCCCTGCAGGGGCTCCAGGAGAGCTGGAATTTGGGGCAAGGCCCGGAGGGACAGGACCCAGGGAATGGCTCCCACTGGGAAAGGGGAGATTGGGCTGGGATCTTGGGAAGGAATTCCTGCCTGGGCTGCAATTCCCAGATTTGCTGTGGCTGCCCCTGGATCCCTGGGAATGTCCAAGGCCAGGTTGGATGGATTTGGATCCACCTGGGATCGGGGAAGGTGTCCCTGTCATGGGAGGGGGTGACACTGGGTGATCTTCAAGGTCCCTCCCAACCCAAACCAGTCCAGAATTCCACGAAATTCTTCGGAGGATGGAGCGGGATCACCCCTCCTCCTTTGTCCCCCTTTAATGTCCTTCAGACCACACCCATCGTAACAAATTAAACCTGGCAGGATCCAATCCCTGGAAATTCACCTGCTCCGGCTCCTCTTTGCAGGAAATGGGAAGGGGGGGACCCGGGCGTGGCCAATCAGAAGACGCCCACCAGCCTCCTGCTGACCCCGGAGGGGACATTCCACAGCTTCGGCTACACCGCCCGCGATTCCTACCACGACCTGGACCCCGAGGAGGCCCGCGAGTGGTTCTACTTCGAGAAGTTTAAGATGAAGATCCACAGCACCAGTGTGAGTCCCTGCTCCCGTCCTGATGTTCCCCAGGGGATCCTGGCCAGGCTGGGAATTGAAATGTTGGGAAAAAAATCAGTTTTAGGCTGTTTTAGGGGATGAATTTGGGGTTCTCCCATCCGAGCTGTTCCAGGGTGGAAGGAAGCTGCACAAAGCTTCAGGTGCCTGAGCTCCAGCTCGGGTGCAAGATGAGGAGCAAATTCCCGAGGTTAGGGGGTGGATCTGGCCACCTCCCAGCCCCTCGTGTGATCCATTTGCTGCTCCTGGCAGGATCTGACCATGAAAACCGAGCTGGAAGCCGTCAATGGGAAGAAGATGCCGGCGCTGGAGGTGTTCGCCCACGCCCTGCGCTTCTTCAAGCAGCACGCGGTGCAGGTGGGGTCACCTCCATCCCTCCTCCTCCTCCTCCTTCCCAAATGGAATCCCCTGTGTCCTCTCCACCCGTTCCATGGGAGGACCTGGAATGGAATTCCCAGATTTGCTGTGGTTGTCCCATCCCTGCGAGTGTCCAAGGCCAGGTTGTCCAAGGCCACCTGGGATAGTGGGAGGTGTCCCTGGGTGGGACTGGATGGGATTTAAGGTTCCTCCCAACCCAAACCATCCCGTGATTCACCGGGAGCCCCCGGGTGTCACCTCCTGCTTGTGCCCTGGCAGGAGCTGAAGGACCAGTGCCCGTCCCTGCCCGAGAGCGACGCCATCCGCTGGGTCCTCACCGTGCCGGCCATCTGGAAGCAGCCGGCCAAGCAGTTCATGAGGGAAGCGGCCTACAAGGTGGGGGGACTTTGGAGGGTGACCATGTGGTGACCCTGATAGGGGTGGTGGTCTCTGGGGTATCCCCTTGCTCCCCCAAACTGAATTCCCACTGCTGGAGGACACAGTTAGGTGGGATCTTGGGAAGGAATTCCTGGCTGGGAGGGGCTGGGCTAGAATTCCCAGATTTGCTGTGGCTGCCCCTGGATACCTGGCAGTGTCCAAGGCCAGGCTGGATCCACCTGGGATAGTAGGAATTGTCCCTGCCCATGGATGGGGCAGGAATGGGATGGGATTTAAGGTCTCTTCCAACCCAAACCAACCAGAAACTGTTGGATGGGTGGATAATCTGCCAGGTAGGTGGTTAAGTGGGTGGTTGGGTGGTTGCTTGAATTGTTCAATGGCTGGGTGGTTGGTTTGGCGGTGGGGTCATTGGTTGAGCAGTTGGATGGGTGGGTGGTGAGATCATTGGTTGGGTGGTTGGTTTGGTGGTGGGGTCACTGGTTGAGCTGTTGGTTGGTCGGCTGAGTGCTTGGTTTGGTGTTCAGGACGTTGGTTGGTTCACTGGTTGACTGGGTTGTTGGTGGAGTGGTTGGATGGTTGAGCAGTTGATTGGTTGGGTGGTCAGGTCATTGGTTGGGTGGTTGGTTGCTTGGTTAGTTGGCTAGATGGTTGGTTGGGTGGATTTACGGCAGGTTGAATGGTTGGTTGGGTGATTGGTTTGGTGTTTGGGCTGTTGGTTGATGGTTGGGGTTTGGTGTTTGGGTTGTTGGTTTGGTGTTTGGG